TAAAATCAGCCTATCACCAGATCCCAATTAAACAAGAATATCGTTTGTATACTGCGTTTGAAGCTGACAGTGGTTTACATCAGTTCATGTGTATGCCTTTTAGTGTGATAAACGGAGTAACTCAATTTAAAAAAACAGTGGACAATTTTATTGCTGATGAGATATTGCTTACTGATGAGATATTGCTTATATTGATGAGACTTTTGCTTATCTTGATAATTTGACAATCTGTGGTAAGATGCAAAAGGATCACGACTACAACCTTAAAATGCTTCTTTTTAGCTAAAGCAAAGAATTTAACTCACAATAACAAAAAATGTGAAAAAATCAACACCACTACTAATGAAACTCCTCATGAAGGACGCTTTACGTATCAAAGATGTTCTGCTAATGGAAATTCAATCCGATTATAGCTTACACAACCAGGCAAGGTGTTATTAAAGAGACATGTTAAAAGTTCTAAGTATAAATTTGACGTAGATGAGGTATTCCTAATGGAAGCAAACCCACAATATGCGCTTATTTAGCATGCAAACGGTCGTGAATCTACGGTTTCTATTCGTCACCTTGTACCACTAACTTATGACTCACATACAGTTAACTTACAACACGGTATCTAAGGTATCTAAGGTAAACACGGTATCTAAGCTCATCGGAACAATCTGGTTGTTGCTTTTTCGATTCTTTCTAAATAGTGGACATCATTAAATGGACACCATCTTTATTCCATATGTTTTAATGCTGCGCATCATTATAATCTAGACTCACATAGCGTATATCTTTTCTTTATACTTATGTATATATACATATATATATATATATATATATATATATATATATATATATATATATATATATATATATATATATATATATATATATATATATATATATATACATATATATATTCTATAAAATAGAGTGCTGAATGTTCTTAAAGGAACAGAGCAATAAATTGATGGTAGTATTCGATAGATAGTAGTATTCGATATACATATATATCGAATAGTAATATATCGGTAGGAATATTCAATATACATATATATCAAATGTATAAATTTTTTAAGAATGATTAAGATATATAGAGTGCTACTGTTATTATATCCATATCAATACTAATTAACATATTTAAAAACAAAGACATTTGGAATACATCAAGTTGAAATACTCTTTCCGTAATTCGTATAAGTGGTTCCAAGGGAGTTAAAATATTATAGGGAGTTAATTTGTTTCGCCGACAGGGATTAATTTATTTCAAGGGGAGTTAATCTATTTAAAAATATATTAACTCCCCGGATAACTTTTTACGCGACGGGAGTTAATTTATTATGGGGGTTAATTTATTTCATGACACCGGCAGTTTATCATAGAATTATTTGCCGGCACTGCCGGCAATTACCTTTTGCGTTATAATATTATGTATTCTTTTTCTTGTTGGTTTCCCAGATCTACATTTTGCATTTATTTTTAATATTTAAATTTAGTCTGAAAAAGAAGCTAAATATATGGCTAATATAAATACTTTATCCGTATTAGATTTTATATAATATTTTATATCTTAAAACATTGCAAAAAATATCCTTTTTCCAACAAAAAAATTTGGAAACTCATTTAAAAATGGCGAACTTGTTGTTATTAAACCAATTTATGACGCGATAATAGCATTTTTAACGACGTTCTGTTTAATTTCGCAATACTTAAATAAAGCCATGAAAATGTAGTTTGTTTTGCTTGTTTGTTGACTTTAACTTGGTAGTGGCTTAATGTGTATATGATGCTCTTTCAATTTTTAATACTGGAAGAAAAGCAAGTATACTTCTATTTGAAAAATTGAATATGATTCCTGGTATATATACTCTTTAAGACTGTTCAATCATGAACAAAAAGCATTTAATTTTCGCAGAGTATCAAAATTGACCAACATCAAAAAAGCGACGACAAGTTATTCGTGGATGCAAAAAAAAAAAAAAAAAAAAAATTTTTAAATTGAGTATTTGACATTTTTATTTGGTAATATTGGTAATGTAATATTTAAAAAAACAATATTCTTTATAGTAAGCAATTTGAATTTAAAAAGAGGAACTCTACTGATCAGGCCATTATTCATCTTGTTCATGATATCTTTAAATCATTTGATGAAGATAAATATACATAAGTTGTATTTATTGATCTTAGTAAGGCTTTTGACACTGTCGACCATTACATTTTATTAACAAAATTAGAAAACTATGGTATTAAACATACAAATATTGCGTGGTTTAAAAGCTATTTGTCAAATAGAAAACAATACATTTCTTATAATGAAGGTAAAACGACCAATATGAACATAGCATGTGGGGTTCCTCAGGGATCTATATTGAGACCACTCCTATTTCTCATTTATATTAATGATATAAGCAATGCTTGTACTGAACTAGATACAATTTTATTTGCAGATGACACAAATTTATTTTACGCACATAACGATATAAATATTCTGTTCAAGTCAGTAAACAAAGAGCTATTAAATCTTACTGAATGGTTTAATGCAAACAAATTATCTCCAAATGTAACCAAAACAAAATATACTTTTTTCCATCGTTTTAACGATCGAGATAAAATTCTTTTAAAACTTCCAAAACTTTGTATTGCTAATCAGGACATAAAAAGAGAAACTACATTAAAATTTCTTGGCGTACTTCTTGATGAAAATGTGACGTGGAAAAATCGCATACATTATCTTGAAAATAAAGTCTCAAGGAACATTAGCCTACTCTGTAGAGCAAAGCTTTTTTTAAATTCAACTTGCTTAAAGCTTTTATATTTCTCATTCATTCATTGCCATCTTAATTACGCAAACATTGCTTGGTGCAGTACAAATAAAAAAAAACAAAAAAAAACTATTTAACAAACAAAAACATGCAATCAGAATCATTTTCAGTGTGGGCCGTTTTACACATTCCCAAGAATTGTTTGTTAATTTAAATATAATGAATGTGTAACAAATAAATATCTATCATCTTCTTATATTTATGTTCAAATTTAATAAGAATATATCTCCGAAAATATTCTGCCCTCTATTCAAAATAAATCAGAACAGATATCAAACCAGATTTTCAAATAACAGTTACATTCAACCCAAAAGGTATTTTGCGGCGACTGAATTTTCAATTTCTACGAGAGGACCAAAATTATGGAATAAAATATTAACAAATGAACTTAAATCAATTGCAACGCTTAATGAGTTTAAAAGCAAATTGAAGCAAAAACTATTGATGAACGACGCAGCGCTCAGCTTTTTTCTGAAGTATTAATGATTGCTACTAATAAATAATTAGAGGTTTGTCATTTTCAGCTTGACGATCTTAGAAATCTTTTTTTATAAAAACTTATAATTTATAAAAATTCTCCAGATAATTTAAGGTATCTGCTGGTGTAAAAGGAAAGCTTCAGGATTAGGTATTTGTATACGTATTTTTGTATATTGATACGTATTTGCCTGCATATTACGTATATTGTATACGTATATTGATACGTATTTGCCTGCATGCTTTTTAATAATAGAGTTTTTATTCCGCTAAACATTTTTTTTTCTTTTTTTTTCTTTAAATTTGTATTTAAATTTTTCATAACCAATAGAAAATGCTTTTTTCTCAAATTGTCAATTTTTAACGTCCTGGTCTTTAACCGTATGTCAGATTTGCATGAAATTTTCACCAAATGTTTATTGCATCAAGTTGTACAATTAGAACTAAAAGTTTTACAATTCTGTTAGGAGTTTTTGATTTACAGATAATTTAGTTCACAAAAATGCGTTTTTTTAAATACGCTATTTTGAAAAACTCAGAATAGCTTAAATACTTTGTTTTTTTAGAGCAATTTTAGTTCAGTATGTTGTGAATCATATGCCGAAAAATAATATCCTATATGCTTTTCCTTACTGAGATAGAATGGCCGGGGTGGCCAAAACATTTTTAAATGTCTGCCATTTTACTTGGTAACCATGGTAACTAATAAGTTTATTTTGCATTGTTTCTCATGATATTCTTGGTTTTTTGAAAAAAAGATTTTTTTTCCTAGTTTATTACAAATAACAAGTACTTGTTAATAACGAAATATTTTTAAATAAATAACAATTTGGAATAGCTTGCATTTACCTTTCGGTCAAACAACTATATTAATCAGAGTGTAAATTTTTATTAAAATGTATATATATATATATATATATATATATATATATATATATATATATATATATATATATATATATATATATATATATATATATATATATATATATATATATATATATATATACAATTTTTATACAATTGTAATATATATACAATTTTTGCAAAACCCTCCTCCTCTAAATCTCTTTAAATTACTTTATGCGACCCCAAAGTCCTTGGTTTTGGCACCGGATCCCAATTTTAAAGATATATACGTCTTCAAATATATATATATATATATATATATATATATATATATATATATATATATATATATATATATATATATATATATATATATATATATATATATATATATATATATATATATATATATATATATGCCAAAACCAAGGACTTTGGGGTCGCATAAAGTAATTTAAAGAAATTTAGAGGAGGAGGGTTTTGCAAAAATTGTTCAATAAAGTAATTGAGGAGGAGGGGGGTGGGGTGGTATAATGAACTTAAAAGATGCACGCTCTAAGTTAAATTTTTTTTTTTTAATATATGCAATTTGTTCTAAATTAAAATGTACGTACTTTTTAGGGACGGGGGGAGGGGTTTAATAGTACGTATAGTAAAATATAGTCAAAATGTTATAGAAAATATAAGTTGAATGCAAAACTGTAAAATCATTTGTAGAGTTTTATAACATTATGTTTCTAATTCATCGCAAATAATGTACTGAAACATGGAATTTAGTTATTAATTTTATTATTATTTCAACTAATTTGTCTTAGTTATTAAAATTTCAACTAATTTGTCTTTTTTTATTTAAGATAGGTGACAATAAACTAAAGTATTTTATTTGTTATGAAAACCTTTGAACAAAATAAACGCAGAAAAGTAAACAAAATAATGTATAATAAAAGTTTAAAAACGAGTTCAAAGTTGTCGATATCCACGATTACAAAGTTTTCTATTAATTAAAGCTTTTTATATCCAGCACTTTTGCGTTTTTTACCAATTAAATACGCAATTAGTACAATAACAATAAGACCGGCTAACGCTCCGCCGACAGCGATAGGTACAGTGCTGCTTGATTGTTTTGGCGACACAGATTTAGAACAAACAGTTTCTAAAGAAAAAAAAGAAGAATGAGTCAAACACTAATTGTCAGTTAATAGTTTTGTTTTTATATACATTTTTTTAAATTCTTTAAATTTTTTTTTCACGTTTTTAAATTTATTTGAAATTAATAAAACAACATCACTGTAATATTAACTTTTTAAAATTCATTGTTAATATTGTTATAATTAATTTAAATTTAACGTGTATCCTGGTTTTTTCATAACAGTTGTTTAAATTAAAAAAGATTTTGCAAAAAATATGAAAAGAAAAAAAAAACAATTTATAACGCGTATTTAACAAAAGAAATGGGTTGTTCGCGTATTACGTCAGATACTTTTTGACTATTTTTGACGACCCTCCCCCCTAATTGTCACAAAATCGTAACTCTATAGTAACAACTCCATATAAGTTGTCACAAAACCATTAACCTCTTTTTTCCATAGAGGTTGACGTAATATATATATACATATATATATATATATATATATATATATATATATATATATATATATATATATATATATATATATATATATATATATATATATATATATATATATATATATATATATATATATATATATATATATATATATATATATATATATATATATATATATATATAATAAATTTAATTATATACGTGTACGTGACCGCATTGGTCATCCTACTATTGAAGTAGAACAATCTGACTTATAGCGCGTCGTCATTCAACTTGCATGCAATATGGATGCAATCTAAAGTGTGTTATCTGAATGAGAGTACAACATACAACAGCTAATAAAAAATTTTATTCGACTATATTAGGTCAAAATATAGCTTCTAGTTTCTAAACTTATTCACTTATAATTATTTAACTACTTTATAAAAAGCCTCAAATTGTTGAATGAGCTTGATGTCGAATTCAAAAAGAGAGGCTACCATCTTAGCAGAAGTGCTTTATATAGTCGGTTGATGCCAAAATGAAGCAAACTTTTAAAAGGAAAGAGACATTTCCACATGGTTCCAGTCAAGTTGATGCAAGCCAAAAACAATCTTCATTCAAGTCACATGGATGATCCATTTTGTACAATAGCTATAAGGAATGTGGAAGAAGTTTGCTCTTTTTTAGGCCTTAAGGATCTGTGCTTTATAAATCAAAACAATAAAGCTCAGATCCCAATTGGAACCATTGCTGCTAATAAAAAAGCTCCTGTATTAATGCAAACAGAATATTAAGTTTCTCTTACTGATCATAATTGGGTCATCGCAAAGCACAAGCTCATCCTGTCTCTCTACGCAGGCATTGAAATCAAACCAGATGTGCTCGGAAAATCAGGCAGTTACCTATTTCCGTCCAACTTATGTTGCTGTTCGATCTGGGAAGCATTTCTCATTGTCTGCATGAGCTCACGGGTTGGACTTTGAAAGACTTTTGACTCTGCCAGAGTTCGGTTCCATTACAAAAGATCCATAGACCAAGTTGGTCAAACCAGAGGTTGTCTTTAGTGTTGATTTAGCGAGATTGATCCTGCCACGTGATTGTTATGGAACTTATCTAGACTCTCAAGGAAATTCAAGTTCATTTTTAGTATTAACTCTTTATTAAAAAAGAAAATATATACAGCAAGACTTAAGGAACTAGTTATCGGTATTGCGACATATTTAAGGTAGGATAGTGAATCTTCTTTAAAAGAAACAAAATTTTAATTTGTCTGGAAAGATCTGTGCCTCGATATTTTCAGGCCTGATGATTGATCAGTTTTCAACGGTGGTCGAGTAAATTGGTACAGACGGCAAGATGTAGCTTGATGATCGTCATTTTTTATCGAAAAATCAAGAATGGTTTCCCTCTCATGTGCGCACCAGCCAATATTTCATACAAGTTGTGAAATGTGAGGATCCCGGGTGTTTTTCTTTGAAAAGGAGCTCTTTTTTCTATGTTATTCCTGGTCTATGGTATTGCCTTCACTTATTCCAAACAACTTTCAAGCCATCTTCTTAGACAGAAGATGGCTTGAAAGTTGTAGCCATTTCAGACATTACCAGCAAGAATCGTTTTCCTTCTGTACTTTTTTTGATCGCCTCCAATATTGCTCGATCATTGAAATTATTCAAACATCCTCCTTACGATGTCCCTCTGTGCAATCAAGTTTGTATTATAGATCTGTAAGCATTGTAAATTGTACTCTTTCTCCCAAGACATTTCAAAAAATCATGTCAGCATTACATAATGGTGATAGAAGAGAACACGTATAAGGTATATCTCACAATTCTGAAGTAAACATTTTAGTTTCATCCCATACTTTTAACAAAGTGAAGTCATTTCTTTCAAAGAAGTGTTAAATATAGTGTAAAAGTTTTAAAATTATAATAGAAAGTTTTAGAGTAAATAAACAAGAGTTACAAAAAGTGATGTTATAAGTGCAAATAGTAGTGAGAAACTATAAATAATAGCAAAATAAAAAATATATAAAAAAAACACATTTTATTATTGAGAAAGTCAAACCAGCAATACCAGGTACCAAGTTTTTTATAAGTTCTTTTACAGTTTTATATATTATTTTAATAAGATTTTATTTTGCAGAAGTGCAACGTTACTGAATTTTTTAGTTATTTTTTTTAGCTGATCAACTTTTTTTAGCTGATCTTTTGGATAGCTGCCAACTGGATTGCATATTTTAAAACTACCTATTGCCACTTTTTCTACAATAGGTTTTATTATTGCTTTATCAAGAAAGAGAAACTGAAAAATCAGTGGAAATCGTGAATTTAGAATTATAATTTAGCCTGACACAAGACCACGAGAAAAGGTTCATTCTTTAATTGAGTATATTGGCGTTTTGGGGAGTCTAATAGTATAATACAAGCTGGAATTGCAAAAGATATTCTTTTTGGTGATGTTGCCCTAATTGCTGCAATGAGTAATATTTCTTCCAATGTTTTGACGAAAGTTACTGCTGCAATCATAGTTCTAGCGTTGATCCTAGAAATGTAAGTAGCAGCATCTAGAAAGATGAAACAAACAGTTCAAGAAATTGCAGTTATTTCTAAAGAAGATGTCTCCCTAACTAAGCTTTGTACATTTTGGTGGAAAAACACTTCAAAATTAATAATGGAAAAAAAAGAACTAAAGCATGGCAGATTAGCTGTTCTGGCAACCATTGATAATGATACACATCTTTTTGATGTTACACTATTAGCCTCGTCATCATCTGTCATTATCCTCGTTGGCTCGTTGCTACATCATTAGCCTCGTCATCTGGGAAAGACAAGTAAAATGGAGTAATGAAACTCCTAAAAAAGTAAAATCTTGAATCAAAAATTGGATTACTTCGTTTCGATACAGCATTAAGTAATACAGGTACACATAAAGGATCTCTAATAAGAGTATCTACTGCGCTAGATAAGTATCTAGTTCTCTTAGCTTGCAGACATCATGTTTCTAAGTTGAGAATTACAGACTTTGTGAGACTGTAACGAGTGAAAAAACTACGGCCTCTAATAATCCTTTAGTTTATCCTCTGTTTGAACAATTCAAAAACATGTTCGAGCAGCCAAGTAACATATTGAGTAACATATCGAGTATAAATCATCTTTGTTTAGTAATTGGTTTTGGAAGAAGTTAAAAAACTGTTTTTAAAAAAGCTGCTATTTCATCTTCTAGCTATTGTAGGTTTTTTTTATTAAGAAATGATATTGTCACGAAAGACAGAAAAGAGTTGACATAGCTAGTGGTCAGCTATCCATCTGCTTCTAACATTAAAGTTAAGATTGAAGTTGTTCATCATGCGAGATTTTATAGGGAAATCTATATAATATATATCTATACAAGTCTTTAGTAAAGACGAGAAAAAGGAGACTTTATCAAACAATATAAAATCATGAGCAAAAGTGAAAAAGTTAACTTTCACGTCCCTCAACTTCAACCTAACACGGAATCTTCAAAGTACAGTTTTCGGCCGCGTAGACACACTAAAGATCTAAGAGCGCAACTTGTCCGAAACTGCGCTGAAAGAAGCAACTTCTTCGCCAACAGTGTCGTAAGATCATGGAATTCTTTAACCAAAAATGCAAAGGACTCAAAGAACTTGAACAATTTCAAACACGATCTTTCTCTGCTTCGGCATCTTCAATTAAGCTGAAATTGAAAAACTGTATTTTCATAACAAAGAGGTCTGGTGTGCCGCTCTTTGTCAAAAAAAATAAATAAAAAAATTGTAAATTAATTTTTGACCATGAATGAATAAACCTAATCTAAAATCTATATATATATATATATATATATATATATATATATATATATATATATATATATATATATATATATATATATATATATATATATATATATATATATATATATATATATATATATATATATATATATATATATATATATATATATATATATATATATATATATAAAAATGCAAATTCTTTCAAATAAAATCAATTTTTTTCCAAAAATAAACAAAGAACTATTAAGTTAATAAAAGAATTAGTTTCTAAACCTATAGTTTAAAATCTTTCTGTTATTTTATGTTCCATAAAATAAACTGAACTTTAATATTAATCAAACCAAGATATAAATTTAAAAAAATAAAAAAAGTTTGCATAAATCAATCAACTTCTTTTTTTAAAAAAAATAAAATGTTTTTCTAAAAAGTTTACTTAAAATAAAATATAACAAATAAAAAAACTTTTTATAAAACCACGTTTTGTAATGAACTAAAAAGTAGAAAATAATTTTCTCTTGTGGCTATAGAAATTTTTGAAAATTAATTGAGTCGATAGTAAGTGACATAAAAACTTTTGATTATGAGCTCTTAATAATTACGTTAATATTTGTAAAATTTTAAACGAAAAACATGGTGCGCATCTTGTCACTTTAAATGATCATCATCGTCCTTAATTACTTTAACTATAGCTTCCTTCTTCTGTTCTTTTTTTTCGTTAAATGCGCACCACGTTTTTCGTTTAAAATTTACAAATATTATCGTAATTATTAAGAGTTCATAATCAAAAGTTTTCATGTCACTTACTATCGACTCAATTAACTTTCAAAAATTTCCATAGCCACAAGAGAAAATTATTTTCAACTTTTTAGTTCATTACAAAAACGTGGTTTTATAAAAAGTTTTTTTATTTGTTATATTATTTTCTTCTTTTTAGTTTTTGATGGATGGAATTTTATATTTTGTAAACAACTGATTTTGTTTTTATGCTGCGGTCCATTTAAAATCACAACGACAGTTAAATTTGTTTTTTTGTTCGATTCTTTATTTAAAGCGACGCGTCAAATTGCGGCGACGCCTCCAAAAGTTTCGCCATAATAAATTTTATTTTTCTGAAATTGTTCAAGAAACTCGCCAAATCATGGTAAAAGTAGTATAATATTGCATTGTCATCGGGTTCTGAGCTATAGTAAAAGTTTCAGAGCTCTAGCTAATCGAAAAGTGGGTTAAAATTGAGTTGCATAATTCCACCCGGACAAACAAACAAGAAAGCGAGCTAATAAAAACATGGTAAAAAAGGTTGGAGACGTTGAACTATGTGATTATAAGTCATATGAGTACGTAATTATTATGATTTCTTTTATTAAGTTATGCATTTTTTTGTTAAATGCGCGTTAAAATTTTTTTTAGGTGTATTTTTTTGTGAAATTTTTTATTTATTTTAACAACAATTATGAAAAGTCCAGGATATACAACAATCTAGATATAAAAATTTGAACTATTCTAAGGATATTTTACAAAACTTTACGAAATATTGAGATTCAATTTGAGTTCAAAGTCAAATTACTTAGGAACTATTTGGGATATTTTTTGAGGTATTTTAGGCTTAAACACATGGTAAATGTCAAAGTTTTTGGGATTTGTTTTTGTAATAGTGTTTTTTTTTTCCATTTATCCCAACTTTGACTTCTTTTATATTTTTCAAATTTTTTTATTATGAAATAGCCCCGCCTATAAAAAAATAAAACTTTTAAATTTTCAGAATTAAAAGTTTAATATATACATAAGAAATAACACATATAAACATTTTACGTTTTCAGCACGTTGTTTCAACCTGTGTTTAACGTTGTGTTCAACCTTTCTATTAAAAAAAAATGCTTTACACCAAAAATAAAAGCAAAATAGTAAATTTGTATATACAAAAACTAATAAAAAATTATCCAGGATTAAACAGAAATTATATTTAAATTTTTTAATGACAAAAACTGTTGTTAATGAAAAAATATATAAGAGCTATTGATATCTATTTCTAAAATTCTGCAAAAACTTAAAAAACTATTATTCCCAATTACTTAATACGTTTAAAAACGATACTACTTGTCATTTTTGAACTATAAAAACTAATAATAAATTATCCAGGATTAAACAGAAATTATATATAAATTTTTAAATGACAAAAACTGTTGTTAATGAAAAAATATATAAGAGCTATTGATATCTATTAAAAAAAAAACACACTTGACAAATTATGAAGGAAATTATTTAAAAACAAAAATGGATAACATAAGTTTATATGAACCAAGAACTATAGCCCAAGAATTTAAAAAATATTTCATTGATATAGATTTAACATTTCTAAAAAGATACCTAACAATAAATCTATGTTTACAGATTTTTTAGTATCATGGATAAATGCTTTTGTTCAGATTCGTTATCATTCTAATTAACGTTTGAGGAGTTTGTAGATGTCTTCAAAACAGTTAAAAAAAGAAACTGTTGGAGCAAATTAAATAGGTGGAAGCGTTATCAATGATTGTTTTAAAAGATGGTTTTTTAAAAATAATTAGAGCTTCTATTAATGTAGGTGTATTCTTCAAATGCTTAAAAGTTGCCAAAATTACTCCTTTTTCTAAAGAAGAGGACAAAGAGATTCCATTACTAAATTTTTAGGTGTTAATTTTGATAAAAACATTTCTTGGAACCATCATATTGATAATATAAGTACTAAGGCTTCTAAAAACATTGAGATTTTATATAAAACACAAATCTACGTTAATAAGAAAAGTATAATCCAACTTTATTATTCATTTATACACATTTGTTCAAATTAAGCTAATATTGCCTGGGGTAGTACAGAAAAAAGTTGCGATGGCTCAATCGCCGTCAGTAACATGCGATCCGCGTAACAAATTTAGCTGTTTGCTTCTCTCACTCGAAACATTATTTTGTTGAAATAAGAATTCTAAATATATACGAGCATATATATTCCACGTTTCTTAATGATCCGGAAAAATATCTATCCATCATTAAAAATATTTTACTCTGAAACCTCTCAATAAATACATTTTGAGAAAAATTAAATAAATATATGAACCTTTTTGTCACACGAATTTTAATCAATATTGCATTGACTTTCGGTAACCACACATTTGGAATAAAATTATTTTGCTGAATTTAATATTGCTCTACCTATGTCTTTTCACCATTTAAAAAAAAACAACTGAAAAACTTGATTTTTTCATTAGATAATATATTGAATTACTAGTACGATTTAATAAATGTATCAATGTTTAATTTATTTCTTTTTACACTTTTTTACATTTATATTAAGTTTATTTTTACTACAAATTTATATAAGTCTGTTTAAGCGGTTCTAATGACATTATGTGATCTACTTTCAGATACCTTGTTTATATTTATTTTAGATACCTTGTTTATATTTATTTTAGATACCTTGTTTGTACTCATTATATTACTTTGTTTATGTTTTTTATAATACTTTCATTGTAAATTTGTGAAATTCTTTTTTTATTGTTGGTTATATATAAAACGACAAACAAAATAAACAAAAATAAAAAATAAAAACTACTCACGATTTTTATTATACGATCCATTGATTATATTTGATTGAATGGTAATGCTTTTCAATATTACGGTAACACTGTTTTTATCAGAGACAAGATTGTATTCCGTTTCATCTTCACAGTGATAAGAATGATTAAGAGGAGCTTTTATAATTGGTCCTGACTGAACACTCCATAGTTTTATAATTGGTCCTGGCTGAACACCCCATAGTTTTATAATTGGTCCTGGCTGAACACTCCATAGTTTTGAATATGCATTAACTAAAGAAACAGAAATATTAGTTTTTTATGTATACATTTAATGTTTTTAAATATTAGGAAATTATTTTAACAAAAAACATTGTAAAACTATTTTTTCGACTCGTATATGGACAAAATAATTATTAAATTAGGTTTCCTTTTAAATGTAGCTATTTGATTGGCAGCAATTTTTAATATATTTAATAATAGTTTAGCTTATCAAATTTCACAAACGTCAATATTTTAAAAAACCCTAGATTTTTCTAAAAAAAAAAGGTTCTTTAGAAAAAAAGTGGGGAAACAGGTGTCCCCGGCCCCCCGGCGTCTTCGGCCCTGGCGTGTTTCTGTGCCTAAAGTCATAATATTATTAAAACTCATTAAAATTTTAAGTCATCTACTATCTGTGTGTTTAGAGAAATGACTTTTTAAAATCTGCGTAGTAAAACAACATTAAATCTTTTAAAAAAAATGTTTTGTAAAGAAATATAAAAAATTTTCTAAATGGTTCCTATTGCAATAATTTTAAAATTTTTATCTTTCCAAACTATAAGAATATTATCGAGTTTACGTAAAAAAGATAATAAATTACGGATTTGTGACAAATAAGAAATTACGCTTATTAAAGAAAAAATAATATTACTACATTAGGCTAGATGCGTTGAGTGTTTACACTACTAAAAATAATCTTTAAACTTATGTTTAAAAAGAATTTAGTAATAAAAAGTGATTTTTAAAATTTTACTTAAAATTCGACTCAACAAAGAGAATACAAAAAAGCAAATTATAATCAGAAACATATTTTTGTACATGTTCCCATTTATCAAGGATGTTTCGACTAACAAAAGAAAAGTGTTTTTGAATAAACACGTCCCCAATTCTAATAAATTGCATGAAACCTTTAACCGATGTACATTTAAATTTAGCTACACAAAAAATGCGTAGAGTATTCTTGAAGACTTTGACAATGGTTTGTTATATAAAAACGACACTTGCATGCATATATATAAAAATTTAAAATTTAAAAAAATTGCATGCAATGAAAGCTCTTGCCCAAAAAAGCTCTGGCCTAATGAGTGGTATATGTTTATTAAAAAGCGTTGCATATAAATCTGTTATAAATGTGCATATAAATTTCTTTTAAGAACGTACTAAATAAACAAAATATTTGACTATTTTTCTTCACTTCCAACAAAACTGCATGCAACCACTATTAGAGTTGGAAGTTTTATGAAGAGAAAAGATGAAGTTTATAAAGCAAGGTAACAATTAACAAACAACTTGAAAGATTGCAAATTGTATGAATGAGGAAAACAAGATGAAGGGAGCGAATTCTAAACAACTGATGTTCGAGTAAAAAAATTGGAGAATAAGAATTTTTGGAGTACTTAGGAACAGTCAAAGTAAAAAGATAAAAACTTAATTGAGTGACGAGTAACACAAGAATAAATCATAGTAGATGACACAAGAGACGCTAGCTTCTTAGAGCAAAGCTAATTAAAGTGTTTATAAAAAAGTGAAAGAAAAACAACATTACGAAGCTGTGATAATGGTTAGAGGTTGGCTGCAAGAACAGGTCCTGCTTCCTAATTACCTTATTACTTAACTAATTGTAAATTATATTTACAATGCATTTTTGCACCTCGTCTAAAAGAGAAAGGTCATCATTGAAAAATTCACACCAGATATGGCGACAGTATTCCATACAAGGACGGATTTGAGATTTATAGAGAAAATGAATATAATCCGGAGTGAGAAAGCGGCGAGCATAATAAAGAGATGTAACTTCACCAGATGCTAATTTTGCAATGAATTTGATATATGGTCATCAAGAAAGATTGGGAGTAAGAGTTAAACCTAGAAGACAAAGGGTAGATGACTTATCGAAAACATTACCGTTCATAAATTTAAAAAAAGATCTAGATTGTTACGATAACAATTAGCCGAAAATATTTTTAAAAAATTAAAAAAAATAAAGTTTTATTTGAGTTTAACAGCCACTGAGAGCCCCGTGCTGTAACAAAAGTAAGATACTTTTCTAGCTCAAATGTTTCCTCCAAGATATCAGAAAGTGTTGGCTTCTTATCAAGATAAGAATAAATGATAGCATCTTTAGCGAAGGATGCTACTTTAGAGGTGAGAATATCACGAAAATCATTAATGTAAATTAAAATTTCTACCTAGTAAAAATAACTTTAATACTACGATTGGTAAGGAAGGATTCAATAATTCTAAAGATGTTACCAGATACTTTGTAAGAAGAAAGCTTATGGAGAAGACCAGCATGCCAAACTTTATCAAAACCTTTAGAAATAACAAGAGCGATGGCATTAATCTCTCCACATTTATCTACGGCACGATAAAACCTATCGGTTATTACTGTTAGCAAATCAGAAAAAAAGATCAAAATCCATATCGGTGATCAAAAAGTAAGTTATTAGATTCAATATGAGAGATTAAGTGTTTGTTAAATAAAGATTCAAAAACCTTGGTTATGATAGGAAAACTAATGGGACGGTAGTTAGATGGATCAGATCGTTTTCCAGAATTTTTAAAAATAGGGATTACAGATACCGCTTTCTAGCAGGCTGGAAAACAAGACTCTGATGAGCACTTGTTAAATAGTTTTGAAAGCATAGACGACAGCTACGGAGAACACTTCTGCAAGACTTTAACAGGAATGTTGTTCGCTAGCCTAATTTTTGAGATGAAGTACGAGATTTTGTGAAAAAAGAATAGCAGATTTCGGCATTAGACAAAACCTCTTTATAAAGGTTTCAAGCAATAGTAAACAGACTTCTGTTTTATGAAAAAATCTTTTGACAATAGATGTTGAAGTCATGGTTACGGTTAAAAATTGCAGCAGTACAATTCCGAGTTAGAAATTGCAGCAATTCAGATTCCGAGTCAAGATTCCATGCCAAGAATTTCCATAAGAAGCACAATTGTTATCAGGAAGACAAAAGATTTCTACCCAAGGACCATCTCGAAAATAGAGAAAAAGGTCCTAATCAGCTTTTAGGTAATTGTGAAAGGTAAAATGATAGCAGGATTCAGATGATGAAGAAGAATAAGATATTAGTTTTAGAGAGATCACACTGTGATCAGAAGCACCTTAGGGTGAATGTGGAGAATCTGAGAACTAAATAGGATCAGAAACAAGACATAAGTCAATCAAAAAAAGGTAAATGATTCGAATTGTCTATAAAGCAAATTGGAAAGTTGACTATTTGAGTTAAGGATTGTGAAAGGCAAAAGCTGTGGATTTTAACGCCTGCAGAGTCACTGACACCAAGCCATTCAGTGTGATAAGATTTAATTCACAAACAACAACGATATTGGCTGAGGAATAAAGAGAAAGGGCTTGGTCAACTTGATCATAAAAACATCAAAAAAAGTGCATAAAAACATCAAAAAGAGAATCTTGATAAAGGAAAGCGGAATAGAACAAAGAAAAAAGCGATAGATTGAACACTAAGATCACAAGATAAGACCGCTGAACTCAAATTTGTCTTACAAAGTGCAAGCTGGTCCGGTGAAATTTGCAAGAGATAAGACTCAATAGAAGAAAAGTTACTCCAAAGATTACCAATATTAGGGAATAATAGATTTAGATAACATGGTGATGACGATGGTTTTTTGGTGTTTTGGTGTTTATCCTTTAGTCATTTTTCAATTTGGTTAAAGAACTTGATTCAAAGCAGAGATAGTACTCAGTCCATTATCTAAAAGCCCAAGAAATGCCTCATTACTACTAATAATCTCTAAGCCTTAACAAAGGGCTCCTAATGTGGCCCCAACAATGCATACTAAAAGTACAAACAAGGACACCATCCATGCATAACATGGATTTTCTGATTTTTTTACAGCGTTTGATAGAATCAGCCTCTCTGAGCTACCACAGAGTTTGGGAAACCTGACTACCAGCCGGTAGTCAGGTTTCCCAAAATCTGTATTATAAATATATCTATTAATATCTGGTCAGCAGTTAGAGTCTGTTTACTCTTTAAGACTTTTCTTAGGAGGTCTTCTACAAAACAGTAGCCGGATTCATTTAACGTCTGCGGAGGATGAGTACTTTTATTCAGACACCATCTCTAGCCTCTACTCAACTAAAAGCCCCAAGGCAGAAGGTGAGTTATGTCAGAGTTGGAGTCTCCAAGCTTTTGCCTAGAAAAGCGCATTCTAAAAGGCAGCAGGACATGAACCAGGTTATATTTGATTACATGTTACCAGCAGCAGAATAATCTCACCTGAAAACGGCTTAACAGAAAGTGATTGGAAAAATTGCTTATTAGTGTCAATCATAAATCTACCTTAAATAAAATTTGGTTTCCGATCACAATATCTGAAAAAATAAGTAAACGTAAGTTTAAAGTTATGTACTTTTTTAATTACTTTTAAATAATGTACTTTTTTAATTTTACTACTTTTTCACTCAAAGTCAGTTTATATTCACGCAGTAAAGAAAATTTTTTTGTTTTCCTGATGGCAAGGTTAAACAGGTTTTATCTAAATGTCCTAACAAGATTGATGCAAAAGTATGGACTGATGTTTTTCTTTATATACCTATGGTAAGTAAAAAGAGAAAATTTAGAACACACTTAAAGATACCTCAATAAAAATTTAATTTAATAAAGATCATTTTAAATCTTTTAAAAACAATAAACTATATGTTCGTGTTAAAACACCCAGACACAAACATAAAACTGTAAGTTTACCTAAGTTCACTGTAATATTTGTTAAACTCCATTCTTTTGCATCGGCGTAAAAGTTCATTGTCAATATTATTGATAAAGGTGACGAGTAATAAAGTGTGATAAAAGAGCTAGAACCACAAGATCCTTTTATGGAAGCATTTTGATTTAACCAAACGGTCTAAAAAAATATAATCAGTTTTCTAAAATTCGATCATTAAATAAGTATTTATAAATTTAAATCTTATTTATGATGCATCAAACGGAAGTAACTACCAATTATTTCAAATAAAAAGGATTTAATAGAAATGCCAAAAAATTCATTAAAATTTAAGCTTCATTTTATCTTTTGTTCAATTTTGTTTTAACTTTGGTTAATTGAGTAAATGAGTTGAGTAAAAAATTGAGTAAAAAAAAAGTATAACAAAAATTTTTATTAGATTATATGTCTTATATTTTCTTATATGCCGTGTAAAAATTTTAAGTGATACACAGTTATAAACCAATCTAGCAAAAAATTTATTTGTTCATTAATTCAACTTATTGAAGACTGAGAAACTTTATTTGTTGCTGTCAGTACAGCCGAGAGCTGGCTTGAAAGCAACAAATAAAGTTTCTCAGTCTTTAATAAGTTGAATTAATGAACAAATACATTTTTTGCCGCCTGGAACAGCAATCTTGATTGCTGTTCCAGGCGCCCTTATTTATCAAATTTTTCCTATATTTATTATGAAGGTTCTTTTTTCTTTTAGGTACCTACATTTCATTTGGCGCCCCTTGGATATCTGCCGCAAATGACAAACTGTCCCTCGTACCCCCCCTCCCTCTCGGCGGCACTGACTGGTGTTAAATATTTTATTATCTTATGGGAGTAAATTACTTTAATTACTTAACAGCTAAATTAACAGATAATTAATATTATTTACTACATTAGCATAATTAATATTATTTACTACATTAGCATAACTTTACAACTAAACAAATAGATAACAATTATTTATTATTAGATCACGTTTTATTGGTGTATCTAATTTTTCTTTCTATTATATAGACTTTCTGTTCTTTCTTTACTGACCATATTCTCTCAAAAAACACTTGTAAATTTGTTTTTACGGTGAATATGAGACTTTTCCTAATAATATATTAGATAAAATGTATTGCTTATTCGTATGCTTAAAGTTTAAATTAGCACCTTTCAGTGGTGAATCCAGATAATTGTCCTTTAGGGAAAAAAAAGTACAAAAGTTGAACCCTAAAACATTAATTCCCTATATTGTTTAGTATTTAACAGCAAAGGAAATATTTTAATATTTTTATTTATAGTGTTAAAATTTTTACTGTAAAAAATAAATTATATTTAATCTAGAGTGAAAAAATACTATTAAGTCTGTATTCCGTAACAAAAAACAAAATAAGGTAATATCTTATTTCTTATAAAAGAAAAACATAAAATATAATCCGAAATTGAACTATCTATTTAAAAATGAAAACAATTCAATAACCTTTCTATGATTTAAGTTAACCCAGCTATTTTTTACACTGTTCCACACCAAGGTTCTTGTTACACTGTTTAACTTATTCAAAATTTCAATATACTTAAAACCGAAAAACCAAAGAAATACGTTAGGTATTATATCCCTTTGGAAAAACTCATTTCTTTTTTGAGCAATTCAAACAGAAAGAATGTAAAGCAATTGAAAATTTTTTATATATAAAAAAGACATTAAAATTATATAAAAAGTTATCAAAACTTATTAAGGCGAGTTTCCACTCATCCGTTTTTCTACGGGAACGAAAAAAATAATCACGTGAGCATGCGTAATAAAAGTTTTTATTTGTCCGAAATAAAACAGCGCATGCTCACGTGATTATTTTTTCCGTTTCCTTTCCCTTTCCCGTAGAAAAACGGATGAGTGGAAACTCACCTTTAAACGGATAATAATTTATTATCCTACTTTAACTGAATTATTAGGGCATAACTTTAATTCTTTGTATTTTCTTAGAGTTTAACGGAAATAATTAGTGACGATTACTTTAATTAATTACTTGCTTACATAATTTTTTTTTATTTCCATAAACTTAGCTTAAGTATATATTTTCCAGATATCACTTTATGTAAACGTAATGTAAAATTATTATAGAAATGGTCGAATTCAGGGGTAGGCTCGCTTGTCAAACTGACGGTGTCCTTCACAGATGTATGTACGCTCACTGCGCCAATCCCTTTTTAAGTCAGTCAATAAACATACACTCCGCTGAGCCTATGTTTATATTTAATTTGTCTATCCCCTATAAATCAGAGTTAATGGATGGGAAGGACACTCAGTTGGAGTAGGATTTTAAAAAGATAGTCTACCATATGAAACTCTAGCCATTGCTTTCATCCTGTTGCTCATAACTAAAGTTAACTATTAATATTTAGTAGAAAAAAAAATTAATGCTTGAAATATGAACTACAAACATTGTTTGCCTCCAATATGTATTCTTTTCTTTTTTAAATATTACATGCGTAAATCGCTTGTTCCCGCGTGTTAATTAGCAATTTAAAAACATGTAAATAGTGAAACAAACTTACAAATAGCGTTTATAATAGCAAAAATCCAATGGTGTTATGCAAAGTATTACATTATATATAAAAAAATTATGAAAACTGTTATTACAAAAACAACTTCTTGAAGAATGGAAAATTTGATTCTTCTAGTTATTTTAGATTCAATTTAGACCAATCGTTGTTCAATGATTTATAAACAAAAAAGAAGATTTGAAGATTTATAAATAAAAAAGACTTGAAAAAGAGTTTAAAAAAATAAAGATAAAAGTAGCATCTGTAAAAATGCACATATCACAATTCAGAAATACTTTTATTTATTTTTTATTAATTTGAATGATAAAAAAACATACTAGATTTTGAGCATTTAATTATGTTATTTATGCGTAGTCTTGTGTATTATAACCCTAAACTAAAATATAGAAAACGTAACTATAGGGTTATATATAACGTAAATAAAGCTATCAGGTTGCAGGTGACGTAAATAATTAAATCATTTTAATGTACTATGATAAAGAATAACTTCATTTTTTTAATTCTGTTAGGCATTGGGCAATGTCAATAACAACCATTTGAACCAACTTTGCAATAACATTAAAAACAATTTGTTCAGCATGATTTTCCCCTAATTTTTATACCAATAAAGTACTACATTTTTTGTTATTTTAGTGTTATTAGGGAATCATAATTATAATTTAATCAGAGTTATAATTTAATAGAAAAAATGATCAAAGCAAAAGTAAAAAAAAAATAAAAATATTATTAATTACTTAAAACAATTGAAAACAACTATTTTGATATTAATACATTGTGACTTATTTTGTACAGTCTTAAAAATATTTTTGTTTCCTAGCAACGTAATCGCACTACTCAACCGTATTTTAGTATATAAGAAATCAAAGTATTGTTAAAAAATGCTCTTAGGTTATTAGCTTTATGAAACATTAAACCTTTCTTTTCTAAACAAAGTTTAGAAAAGAAAGGTTTAATGTTTGCAATATGGCACAACCATTGTTTAGAATCTTAAAGAGTATTTAGTATTAGGTATTCTTACTACATCTTTTATTTTGAGAAAATCTTTCGACTCGATATAATTCAAATATAAATATTTGAAAACTATTTTATGTGTATTTTTTTCTCAGTTAAGTTTGGAATTCGTAAAAATATTTTAGTACGTAGTAGTAGAACTTCAGGTCAAAAATGTTCCCTTGAGTTCCAGGAAATTGCATGTATTTTTCACTCGTATATCTTATTTAAACATATCAAATGAAACTGCGGATAAAGAAATAATAAAAAGCTATAAAGTAAAACTTGAAAGAATTAAATTTTATAAACAAAATATATTAAAATTTATAAACTAAATGATCAAAACAATAAAACAATGAGTAGATTAGATTCTGATAATACTCAAGTTATAAGTGTCCTAATTAGAACTTGCATAACTAAATTTACAAAGCTAAATATCTTTGTAAAGAAAACTTGCATATCTTTAGAACCTTTTACCTGTCTTTTACCTAGAAGTGCGAATATACACGCATTTTAAAAGTTAAAAACGCGCAAATTATAACAAAAACTGTCAACAATGTTTCAAAGTTGAGGTATTTTCTAAAGTGATGGATTTAGTAATAAATCAATCAAGTATTAAACATGAATCTGTTTGACAACAGTTTACACTTTTTGATTCCTTATCACCTGCATCTTTCTTTCTACCATCTAAAATAGCATTTTGAAAAAATCAGAGTTACTATTAACTAGTCCCTCATAATTTTAGATCTTAATAGTTTGAATTCAGAGTTGTTTTAAAAAGGTCTTGACAAAATATTATCTTGATAAAGTTTTGAACTGAAATAGGTGAATATATTAAGATTTAAAATAAATTTCGAGAATCAAGTGAGCACACCAATTTTACTTTCATAATGATGAATATAACATTGCGCTACTGCTCATTTGAAAATGTATAATTTAAAATATGGTTGCAACAAGACTTTTTGCCTTCGTAAAGATCTTCTTTAATTTTGTGACTGGTCTAAAGTTTCTACTAACAAAAGTTGGATTGATTTTTTAAATAGAATAGAATCATTTTATGAACACCAATACCCTAGAAACTTGGAGCTCCAACATCTTAGAAAAGGTTACCCTAGAATCCTGAAGTTTGAAAATGCAACAAGAAGATGAAACCTAGAATGCTAACACATTAAAAAAGGTTTGCAGATTTCATAAAGCAAAAAGATTAGGTTTTTATTTACCTATTATTTAACTTAAAACTCACGAAAAAACGTTTGGATACCAAATCTGCAAAGATTGGTAAATTTGCAAAGGTAGGTTTAAGAATTTGTAAGTTGCTAAAAATTGTATTTTAGGGATCTTATATTTTTTCAATGAAAAGGTAATATATTTTAAAAACTTAGATTCTTAGTAAACAAAGTTGCAGATTAAATCAAGAAAAAAATCAATTAAAACATAAAATTAATTTTTCATGAAACTACTTTATTTAATAATGCCATTTAAGTGCACTTTAATGGTGCTCTTTAAAATAACGATACTAAACAATTGTAAAAAATATTTAACTCATTTTTTATTACAAACACGTAATCTATTCATGTATAGAATGGACTAACTTTTATAAAAATTTTTATTTTAAAAGTATTAGCATAGTAAGCATTGTAAAGTTTTCAAAAAGATTATTATTTATTTTATTCAATATAACTAATTATTTAATACAACTTTTATATCATGCCTAAAATTTAGTCTGTAGTTCAACAAATAGCGTCACAAATTCAACACTAAAAATTTGTATTGCTTTTTGTACGGTCATATCTCCAGAACAAAAAATTATTCACCATTGTTATTTTTTCTGAAGGTTCGATGTACTAATATAATAATATTGATGAAAAATCAACATTTTAAAAATTAGCCATATTGAGTTATTCTAAAACCAGAGGACAAAAGTAAAATACCCTAAAAAAAACATGTATTTGAAACCCTAAAACTCGATGTGGGCTTTTTTTTTTCTTTATTGCATCATTAGAAAGAACTTATTTTACATTTTTAGAAACAATAAAAATCATTTTGAAGAGATTTTTCTTATGAACTAAAACCATCGAGTTTTGATGAGCTAAGTTAGGTATATAAAGTATTCCATATTTTGAAAGCGATGCTAGGGTGTAAATTAAATTACCCCTAATTTTAGTAAGTATATTTTGAAAGTGTGATATTTTTAAACACTGTTTAAACTTTTTAAAACTGTATTTAAAAAAGTTTAAACAGTGTTTAAAAATACCACACGCATCCAGAACTAAATAAGCAATCACTAAATGTTTAGTTGTAAGACAATTTTTTCAAAGTTTATGTTTGTTGGTCTGCTGTAAAAACAAATAAAGATTTATGTAAATACATAGTCTACATTATATTTTTTAAATGTTTATACCAAAGATCGGCAAGCTAAAGCTCGCAAGATGTTAAAATTTCAATTTTAAAATGCGACTCTCCATGAACAAATACTATTATAATATTGACAATATGATATTAGTAGCTCTTTACAAACTAGAAAATATTTATAAATTGTTAATTTTGGCTCTTCCATCTTAAAAAACTGCTAACCCTTGGTTTATACAAGTTATCAAATGCATTATTTTTAAACTAGAAAGAGTTTGCTTTCAATGTGATATTGGATGAGGTTTAAAGTTAAAGTAAGAAGGAGCGGCACATTTACGGATTGTGACTCTGCGCTGAACATAAATTATGATAAATATTTAATATTATCTAGGACTAGGGCTGTCGACGGGTAATTATATATATATATATATATATATATATATATATATATATATATATATATATATATATATATATATATATATATATATATATATATATATATATATATATATATATATATATATATATATATATATATATATATATATATATATATATATATATATATATATATATATATATATATATATATATATATAAATATATATATATAAGTATATATATATATATATATATATATATATATGTATATATATATATATATATATATATATATATATATATATATATATATATATATATATATATATATATATATATATATATGTATATATATATATATATTTTAAGTCTGCAAATATTAACCGTAAAGTAACATAAAATTGTTATAAAAACTTGTTATATTTATTTATTTATTATTTATTTCAGTGATCAAATACAAATACAATAATCCATTTATAAATTGATGAAGAGGTGCTATACCAGGCCCCTCTTGCTGACGAATATGGAGATACAGACACTACAGATAACACAGCAGTTGTATCTACAAAGTTACTTTCTTATGTTATTTTTGAAAGCGTTGATGGATTGAGCGTTCACCGCTTCTTGCGAAAGTGCATTCCATTCATCGACAATTCTGTTCGAAAAAAAAGTTATATCGCTCCTCACAGTTTTTTACCATCTGACGTTCTAGTTTATGATTATGGCCTCTTAGAATATACTTATCTTTACTTTTTGAAAATTTTTGCGGGACGGCAAAACTGACAAGCTCGAGTGTACGAGTGATTTTGAATTGCTCGATAAGATCTGCTCTTTTGCGGCATTCTTCAAGAGTTGGTAAACTGAGCCGTTGGAGTCGATCTTCATAGGACAGGTGTTTAATAGTCGATATTGTTTTTGTTACTCGTTGTTGAACTTGGTCGAGAATGGTAATGTCTAATTTTAAATGCGGTGACCAGGCTTGTACAGCAAACTCAAGATGGGGGCGAATGTGAGTGAGATACAGAATGCGCCATAAATAAAAACTGCAACTGCGAAATGTTTTTTTGAGTCGCCCAAGCATTCTATTTGCTACTGATGCGGCTGACTCTATTTGCGATCTGACTTTAAGATCATTTGAGACCATCACACCAAGGTCTCTTTTGACTGCAGATTTTTCGAGAGGACGACGGGTGCCGTCGACGTTAGACATTGAGTATTTGTACGTCGACTTGTTACATCCGCGCCGAACATGCATTACTTTGCATTTCTCAGCGTGGAAATGCAAGAGCCAAAAGTGTGACCATTCAACTGCTCTGTCAACGTCATCTTGGAGAGTAATGCTGTCCGACTCCTTTTTAATTATCCCTATTATTTTACTGTCGTCGGCAAACAATTTCATATGATGAGTAATTCTGTCCGGCAGGTCATTTACAAAGATTACGAATAGCAATGGGCCCAAGACCGAGTCTGAGGCACTCCACTAGTGACTGCTTTCCATTCAGAAGTAATGCTGTTTATAACCACTCGGTTATAAAAGAAGATCTTGAAGATCTTGTCAAGTATCCAATAGTTACGATTTCTTTATCATAGTAAGAATTTCGAGTGTTCATTATTTAAAAGTGGAATTATTTTTGGATTAATTTTTCTCAAGGAGGGGTGATTATTAACTGTTAACGTAATTTCATAGGGGATAGGGGAGGGGGTTCTAAAAGTTTGACAAGTTTTTGACAAGAAGAATAGGGGGAAGGGGATTGCCAGAAAATTGTTGACGTAGCTAATGGGCTGCTCCTTAAAAAAATCTTAAAAAAATGAAATTTGTTAAAAAACTTATTTGCAGTTATGCGCTACTTTAAATATTGCGCTTCACATATTGCTGATTTGTTTAATTTTCTTAAATAACTCAAGCAAATATTAAAAATATAGTTTTGAGTATCAAAATATTTAATTTTTTAGTAGAACAGAGTTTGTTTTTAATCGAGTATGAAAAATCCTTATGTTTTGTACAAAATCGAAAAAATTTAAAAATCTATATATTGACCTAATCAATGATAAAACGATAAAAATCAGGTCAATATATATATATATATATATTGACCTGATTTTTATCGTTAGAATATAGAAAAAATCTCTCCAACATTATTTTTATTGTTTCTAGAAGTGTAAAATAAAATCTTTCCGATGAAAAAAAAACGTTTGCCCACATTAAATTTTAGGGCCTCAAATACATACTACTTTATAGTATTTTACTTTTGTCGCTCATTTGGTTTTGGAATAACTCACCATGGCCATTTTTAAAAGAGCTAATTTTTTATCCATATCATTTAGTTCATTATCCATATCATTTAACTTTTAATCCATATCATTTTTATCCATATCATATTTGTTCTGGAGGTATGAGCCTACAAAAAATAAAAAATAAAAGCTTACGGTGTAAATTTTGTGACACTATTTGTTGAACTGTAGACTAAATTTTAGGCATGATATAAAAGTTGTATTAAATAATTAGCAATCTGCACCTTTGTTTTACTGAAAATCAAAGTTTTTAAGATATGTTATCTTTTCATTGAAAAAATATAAGATCCCAAAAATACGATTTTTAGCTACTTACTGATATTGAAATTTGGGTAAACAAAAAGTACCACAAAATCTGAAATAACAAATATTTTGACCTGAAACTTTGGCTATGTTCATGAAACATGTTTAACTTCATAATGACAAAATTTTACTAAAATCTGACATGGTTGAGTGGGGACCTCTAGACGACTTGACGTGGAATGACCCTAAAGCAAGTTCAAAGGACATGCATAGAACCAAAAGAGTTGCTGCTCTGATCACAACAGAATTCTTTCCACCCTTCCGTTTTAGAACAATGAAAAGCCTTATTTCATAATTTTGTTTAAAACTTGTCTAAGAGGCTAAAATGTGTTAACTTGTAAGTAACTTTCTATAATTTTCAAGTTTTGTAAACTCTAGAAAGTTACTTAAAACTTTTACCGTCATACCGTCAAGTCTTGTTTTCACGCCACCAACCATTTATAATAAAATGTTTACATCGATGTTCCATTACAATATTTGTAATATTTGTTCCATTACAATATTTGTTCCATTACAATATTTTTTACGCATTGTACACTGTTGGTATTTAAAGTTACATTTAAATAAATAAATGGATATAACAAGTAAGTATTAATAAAAAATAAATAAATGCTTAACTATAAAATATAAAAAGAACAAACATATCAAAGCAGTACAAAACAAATTATCAATACCTGAGCAATATTTGGAAATTTAATTCCTATTTCACTTTCAAATTCAATGCAAGAGTTATTTTCGGGAAACTGGTAGTGCACCATTGGTGGAGCTGTTGTTGGTGTTATAGAAGGTGTTACTGAGCTGCTGACAACATTTGTGACTTTTGAAGATGTAACATAAAAAGGTTCAATACTACTAGTGGGAATTATTGAAGTTCTATTAGGATGTGAAGCGGTGGAAAATATAATGCTGGTGATGCTTTGGTTTGATACAGTTTTAGGTACAATACTTGTTAGAGTTGGATGTACAGCGGTTGTATGGATAACACTTGTTAGATTTGGATATACTGCGGTTGTATGTATGATACTTGTTAGAGTTTGATGTTCAGCGGTTGTATGAATAATACTTGTTATATTAGGATGTACAGCGGTTGTATGTATGATACTTGTTAGACTTGTATGTTCAGCGGTTGTATGTATAATACTTGTTAGATTAGGATGTTCAGCGGTTGTATGGATGACACTTGTTAGACTTGTATGTTCAGTGGTTGTATGTATAATACTTGTTAGATTAGGATGTACAACGGTTGAATAGATGACGCTCGTTAGATTTGGACGTAAAATAGTAGTAGATTCACCACTTGTTGAACCTTTTAACAATTCATCAAAATTGCTGGCTGAAATAATAAAAAAAATATTAGTAAGTTTTAAAATTTTATTGATCAAGTAATATTACAATATTACATAAGTAAAAAATATCCAGATTTCAGTTTTAAAATTAACAAAATCAGATAAAGTTATAAACAAGTTCGATTTTTCTAATAACTTTATTGTATGTTGAGAAACATAAGTTAATTGCATTTTTATACTTATTAATTAGTTTAAGTTTTGTACAGGCTTGTATTTTTAAGTCTAGGTTTTGTACAGGCTTGTATTTTTAAATCTAAGTTTTGTACAAGCTTGTGTTTTTAAGTCTAAGTGAAATTTATTTTGATTTATTTGGAAATTTTTAGTTAAGCAGAGTAGCAAGTTTGGTAAATAAAATATCTCGATAAGTACGCATTGCATAACAAAACATCCAATAAGATAAAGTGAAGGAATTAAAATGAAATATAATTATATAAAAATAAAAATAATAAAAATAAAAATAAAAAAAAAAAACAACAAAACGTTGTTGGACGACAGTCGAGTAAGATGCATGGACAGTTTTTCTATTTTAGAAAAAAAATTAAAAAAAATTTTTGCTCTTTTTCTCTTAGATGTTTATTAGTATTATTATTATTATTATTATTTTTATCTACTATTATTTATTATAAATAATAATAAGATAAATAGGTTTGGAAATGCCGAATCTCTGTCATTCTCAGATAAAAATTGAAACATTTAAAACAATTTTTGAGAGTATTCTGATAAAAGAATAGATTTTAGTGCCTCCATTTTTTTTAAAGTAGCATATTACCGTCTTAGTCTATATCCGGCTTCAAAATATCATCAGATCCAATTGTAGAATCTGTCGGAGCGATTTCTAAATCTGCTGCATGTATTTTTAGTTCTTATTGATATTTTGAAGTCTTTCCAAAAGCCTAAATAAATTATCATGATTTTTTAATTTCTTAAAACAATCTTCTAGCGATTGTTTAGCTTTATATAAAACTAACATGAAAAAAGATATGTTGAATGTATTTAAAGGGTCTATAATAGGCTCATCATTACATTCGCAGTTGAAATATTTTTTGTTTCCGGAGCCGTTTATTTTAAAGTTCTGGACTTTTAAGTCTTTTGTGAGTGTTTTTGCCTTAACTAAAATGTGCTCAAATCCAGTATCTCTGTGCTTGATCAACCAGCTTAAAAGTTTTTTAAAGAGCAAAAAGTTGTCAATAGGTCTACTGATTTACTTTACTTACAAAGTTTATTTGAAAGAATAACAGCCAGATTCTCTAAAAACTTATAACCTCTCGTTAGATTTCCAAGTGAATCAGCTTCACATTTGATTTGTGGGTTTTCTGAGGTTTCTGATACTTCAAAATATGTGAGCTTCAGTATAAAATTCATATATTTGGAATATTACTGTTTTAACACTAGCTTGAATCCGAAATTCCCCCATGGTATCACAAATTGGTTTCATAGTAAGTTCTTTTACATATTTGGCTATATTTTTTAATAAGAGAATGTAATTATGACATATGGAAGGTGTAAAAAATGCTCTTAAATTTTCCCTTAGCAGTTTAGCCTGCACCCCTATACCTCTCCCTTCATCTTAGAATCATTTTTATAGTCTTGCTTTGGATGCCATTAACGTTCAGTCTTAAAGACTTAATTTTTTGTACCAAAACAGAAAATAGGTTTTCTCGTGACTGCTCTCTACATATGTATAAATTTAATAAACTTTTCATATACACTGGCACTTTAATCTGGTAATGTACCATCTGAAACATATCTAAGAGGCAACTATCTGGTAATGTACCATCTGAAACATATCTAAGAGGCAACTATCTGGTAATGTACCATCTGAAACATATCTTAGAGGCAACTATCTGGTAATGTACCATCTGAAACATATCTAAGAGGCAACTAACTGGTAATGTACCATCTGAAACATATCTAAGAGGCAACTAACTGGTAATGTACCATCTGAAACATATCTAAGAGGCAACTAACTGGTAATGTACCATCTGAAACATATCTAAGAGGCAACTATCTGGTAATGTACCATCTGAAACATATCTGAGGCTAAGAGGCAACTTTTCATGACTAATGTCTGGAGTCTACAGTCACAGCAAAATATTTTCTATATTTTACCAGCTTCAAAACTTTATATTGAATTTTACTATCTAATCACATTTATAACTTCATTTTGGATTGTTTTACTGAGATAATGTTCATTAGTTATTTTACTGGTGACTTGCTCTAAATGGTCCTGCATTAATGAATCAAATTTTTACAAGTAGTTTAATAGTACCTTTATAATTTTTTGTATCACCTAGTTTTTCAACAGATCCTTGAAATGCTATAACTGCCTATAGCTAAAAAATGAACCACAGCAATAGTCTTTCAATAATTTAATAACAGTTAATATTTGAGCAGATATTAATTCCAGAAGTAGCAAATGCACCAATTGAGACTCTCACACTGAAAAAACAACAATAATAATAAAAAAAAAATTGTGTTCTTTGACTCAGAATTTATTATCAACGGACAAACTATTATTTCTCCATTTAAAAGCTTTCTTTTTAAACGCACTTTTTTAAAATGCCTTTTATCTTCTTGGCAGAGAAAATCATCTGAAAGAATTTTTTGCGGTCCTTTCTTCATTAAATAATCTCTTATTTGCTGACAAATCTCGGGCCAAGTAGTAGAATCATCTTTTATATGGGTTCTTCATTATAATATTTTTCTTTACTCTCAGTCGTATTAGGTTGAGTTGTTTCAACTGAAATATTTAGTTTTTTTTTTCTTGTTTATTATCTTCGGCAGTATTTTTTTTACATTTTTATCATTATTTTATTTATTTTTTTATCAAAATATTTTTTTCATCTTTTCAATATTTTCTTCTGAACCTCTATCATAATTTTCTTCTGGATCTTTTCCATTATTTTCTTTTTGATTATTTTTGTTTTTTCATCTGATTATTTGTCAGAATTTTTAAGTATTTATTAAAAGTACCTTGAGTTTTTCAATTTGAGTTTTTCAATTTTCATTTTTTTTTAGAAAACTTACTCGTTTGTTGAACTTGTGCTTTTAGTATAAAATGTTACATCATGTCTATAAATACTCTAAATTCTTGCGCAATTTTGACTTATGGTTTGAGAATTCGTAAAAATGTTTAAAAATATCTTTTATATATTTAACATTCTAAATAAAATAGGCTCCACAATAGAATTAAAAACAATTTATTTGCCTTGCGCATAGTAAATGCCATTAAGATGTCTAAAAAACATTTATTACTCGATGTTAAATCTGCTTTATACACTCAATTAATATATATATATATATATATATATATATATATATATATATATATATATATATATATATATACATATATATATATATATATATATATATACATATATATATATATATATATATATATATATATATATATATATATATATATATATATATATATATATACATATATATATATATATATATATATATATATATATATATATATATATATGTATATATATATATATATATATATATATATATATATATATATATATATATATATATATATATATATATATACATATATATATATATATATATATATATATATATATATATATATATATATATTATATATATGTATATATATATGTATATATATATATATATATATATATATATATATATATATATATATATATATATATATATATATATCAGAGGTAGAAAAAGTAAAAAACAATTGTACTCAAGTAAAAGTATTGCTACTTGAGTGAAATTTTACTCAAGTTCTAGTAAAAGTTACCGGTCGAAAACTCAACTCAAAAACTCAAAACAAAAAAAAATTAAATCCATGTGAAATTAAACAAAACATAATACATTTTTTTACTGAGTACCCCATATGATTTCAGATGTAGCAAAGTACAATACTTTAGAAAAAAAAAAAATTAAGTAAAAGTAAGTAACTTACTTAAGTAAAAGTACACATTTAAAAAAGTACTTCAAAAGTAGAAATTCACAAAGTAACTACTCAATTACAGTAACGCGAGTAAATGTAATTCGTTACTTTCCTCCTCTAATATATATATATATATATATATATATATATATATATATATATATATATATATATATATATATATATATATATATATATATATATATATATATATATATATATATATATATATATATATATTATATATATATATATATATATATATATATATATATATATATATATATATATATATATATATATATATATATATATATACAGTGGGTGCTCATATTATTAGAAACACTGTCTTTTTTTTGAAAATTATGTGTTAAAGGTTATTTATTATAGAAATAAAAAGGTTGCAGACTATTTTTTCGTAACTTTTGAGTGTTGCGGTCTATATTTATTATAAAAAACATGCTTATTTATATTTTTTTAAAATAATTTCACTATTGCACAAGCAAAAGATTACATATTGGTGATTTATTTTAGTATTTTGTTATCCCTCCCTTGGCACTTATTACCGTCTTGGCATACTTTCTATGCATTTTATTGCATTATTTTGAATATCTATGTTATTGTGCCAGACTTTGATCATCTTTTCAATTAATTGTATTTTGTTGGTGATCATTTCAGAAGCAATTTCCCTTTTCATGATCTCCCACAGATTTTCAATAGGGTTTAAATCTGGTGAGTTTCCAGGCCATGGTAGCAGTGTAATTTTCTTTGCTTTTAGGTACTCTGTAACCTTCTTTGCTTTATGGCATGGGGCAGAATCATGCATAAATGTAAATTTTTGGTTCTTTGGGAACCATTCCTTCAACTGTGGTACCAATCTTGTGTCAAGAACTTTTATGTATTGGTCCTGGCGCATAGTTCCCTCAACGATATATAAGCGCCCTGTTCCATGTCCACTAATGACAGACCATACCATTACACTTAGAGGATGCTTTACACGTTCTAAGATGCAGTCTTTGTGAAATTTTTCTCCAGCACGTCTAT